AAGTGTTGACATTTATAACAATTGAGATTGGGCTAAGAACTGGTGTATGGAAATGGAAAGCAAGCATGTTACAACAACACAATCATCGATGGCTATTTAGGCAATAAATTTGTCTAGTTGTAACGAGCTGGCTTATAATTAACAAGGTTGTTAGTTCAAATCTTACCATCGATATGGAGACATTGTTGGTGGGTAATCTATATAAATGCCTCTGTAAGCATTCTTTGAGCCTAAAGGCATGTCTTAGCCTGAGTGAGCCCCTAAGACCACTTAAACTTTGTTGTATGAAAAATAACATTACAAAGGGCCATTTAGAGACAACTCAATTGGAAATAACTAAGTTATGGCCATGACTTTCTAATTCACTCTAAATTGATTGTAGCTAACTCTAACTCTAAATTTGTAAAGCATATTCTACGCATGTTTGTTAAATTTTTGTGTCTTCCAATTCATTTTTATTGACTTATTGCTGAATCATGCATTAAATTAAATTAGCCTTGATGGCTTAACAACTTCAAGTCCCATTGAAATTCTACCAAGGTTAAAGTTACATAAGTAATATGAAGAAAAATTAAAATTTCATTTGTTACATAATAAAATATAAAAGTATAAGTTTATCTATACTATTTTTTGGATAGCTTATAAAATTTTATAAAGGATTTATAATTTTGGAGATTTTATATTAGAAAGGTTATAGACTACTCTCCTAATCATTGCGTAACAAATTGGTCAACATGACATAACAACAAATAAATATTGCCATCAATGGAAAGAAAGGAACAGCTTTTTTTATTACATACCTGGTTATCTACTGGAAAGTATTCCAAATTCATCTACAAAATTAAAGTAAAACCATCCTCAGAAAAAAGGTTGTGAAGGCTATTAAATGCTTATAACTCTATTAAAAGGAGAAAAGATATATCAACCTCTCTCAATGCACCTATGCGGGGTAAGACACTTGTATCACATTGAATGTGTTTTATAAATTCCCTTGGAACTGTTGAGCTAAAAAAAATATATGCTCTGCCAAGGAAAAGAAAAGGAAAGAAAGAAAAATGAAAGAGAGAAGGAAATCAAGGCTACCCCCATAGTTAAAGCTTACAAAAGATATATAACAGCAAATTGGGCGGAAAAAACCAGAATTTTCTGCATACTTCCTATACAAGGGCTCCCTTCCAGACATGTCTGACATTAACATGATAAGACTGCATGCTAAAAAAAGAAAGGTCAATAAGGATGTAAAAGATTGCAAGTTGAATATGTTTTTTTTTTATAAAAAAGTTCAACATAAATAATGAAGCTAGGTAAAATAATATAATACAAAGCCAACCGATTTTCTAGATTTGAAACTAAAATAAATTTCATTGGGAAAAACACTTTTCAACAAGAATATACCGATAGAAATGAGACAAAATTTGGATACTTAGAATATGGTTTGTTTCAACTGTGACAATAATAGATGCCAAAGATACTTCTATACATACTTTATATTAAAGCATCATAATAAGCAAGAATAGTAGTGGAGCACTCTATATATGTACTTTATCCCTTTATAGTCATCCACTTTCAAAATATTTGGGAAAAACAGTTCAATTACAATAAAAACTCCAAGAGATAAACATAGGAGATATTAAAATTAAGGGATTATTTTCATCCTCTCAACACTTGCCTTGGAGCTAAAAATTACAAAAACTTGAACATGTTCCATTTAAAACCTATTGAATTAGTAAGAGGGTTAAAGTACAATTTTGTCCTTAAAATATTTTCTCAATAGCCCTTAGCAAGCAAAAACAACCCTTTTTGCAAGACCATTCAAGGTGGGTGAACATTATGGGTGAACCCTAATTTTCTAGTTCTCATGAATCTTTGGATTTATCTATCACTTTGAGGAAAGGTTACAAAAGTTACACTAAACATCCTCTATAAAGTTTCATGGGCTAGTATCTTACCATAGGTCATTATGAGTGCCATTTTTTCTAAAAAAGCTCTCTTTGAAAGCATACATGAAGGATTTTGTAAGCGGAACACAAGCTATAAAGGGGATAACTACAGTTGAAAAAAATGAGACTTCACAAATCTCATTTTCTACAAGCAAAAACCATGTTCTATCATCTATTAAGTTTTTGAAGATGCTTTAAGGACTATCAATGTAGCATAGCACCGTTATGGAACATGGAATAACATATATTTTCTTCTTTTAAGAAACTTCACATTCTTGAAGTATCTCTGTACATGAAAAATCCATCTAGGTGGCTCTTCTTCATAGAATAAAGGTAGATCCAACTTAAATCTTGTCATGTTTCTCTCTTTAGACCCACTCTCCATCATCAATCTCAATCACCCTTTCAAACTCTTAGGTAATTTTCAATTCAAGTGGTTATAGGTTATTATCTCTGCATCCTTTTATATCTATTAATCAATTTGCCAACAAGTCCTTTAACATGGCTCTTTCGCATCCTAAAATCAAGAAATGGTAGTACACATATTCTAGGTAGCTTTTCAAAGATTAGTTTCCTATACCAAGTGAATACATATGTCACCTCCTTTATACTCTGATACTCACCCCAATAATTCATTATTCATAATACCTCTCTCGTCTAATAAACAATCATTTTTCCACATTTGCAGTAAATTTGTCTAGTTTGACCCAATCCCCTATTCTTCTTGTTAAATCTTAGTGGTTCTATATCCACCATCATCTCTAAGCATACTATTAAGATTCCTGATGAAATAAAGAATCTCAAAGCCACTCTCTAGCTCATAATGGCCAATAAAATTCAACAAGTTGAAGCTTCGAATGCGAAAAACAAAGGCAAAATAATGGTCAACGAGAGTAATCTATGGATTATTAAGCGGTGTAAGGTAATAGAGTAGGTGAGTCAAAACTCTACTTTCAAAGATAACTTCCAAGGCAATGGGCCAAGTAGTTTCCTCTAATTAAGTTATGGTATAACACTAATCACCACTCAACTATAAATATGACTCCTTTTGAGGCAATTTATGTTATCCCTCTTCCTAGTCACTTGCCTTATCTTGTTGCTGACTCATCTAATAATGTGACGAATAGGAGTGGCTTTTCTTGTTACAAATAAATGAAATTATCTAACAAACAATGGATTAGTTACTTTGAGAGAAAGTTAGTTAGTTTGGTGAGAGGTAGAATATATTTAATAAAAAATTCTCTAGATGTTAAGGCTGTCTAAGAAATTGAACACTTCTTTTCCTTTTCCTTCAATTTACATGCCTTTTACTTTTCTCTTGCTACAAGTAACTCTTTCTTAAACCACAAGACCTTTATTAATTCATAATACCTACTAAAAAATAACATTACACTTTTTTAATTGTATAAAACCTTACTAAATACTTTATATTGCTTTAATCCATACTTAATTTAAATCTAGGATCTTGTTACAACTATAATCCAGTCTAAAGGAAAGCAAAGAAAAGTAATAAACACATATACTCACTTATTTATCATCTTTAAAACTTAAGCAACTCGCACTTCCCAAGATATCCCTCTAGACAAATAATAGGTCCCACAATTCTTTGATCTACTACCTGTAAATAGCCTTATCAACCTTCTAGTAGTTGGTCTCCACTACAACGGTAATTATGATAAAGCAAATTGGTTAATACCCTATTAGTTCTATTTATAAGTTACTTCTAACGCATTTCTCACAGACCAAGAAAACTTTAACTTTATTAACTCTCATTTAAAATTTAACAACTTTTCAACTTTATCCCTATTTAATATACAATATACCTTATGAGAACAAAATCAACAAAATAATAAATGAAGGTTAAAATTATACATTCATATGAAAACTTTTTCGCTACCCGTAAATAAAATTAAAGGAGTAATGTTTTGCATAACTCATATGGCACTTTATGACTTTAAAATAAAGTGTATAGTTATTGATAAAGAAAAAACAAAATTACTTCTCTTTTATTGGCTGCATGAAATAAACAACATCCATAGACGGTAGTGGTTGCCTTCTCTTGAAAACGTCTTCTACCACTGCAATAAGAAGTCAAGTAGTTTGTAACAAATATTAGAACAATATCCAAAGAAATGAACTTACAATGTAGCTTAAAGTAGAAAGTTAGTGCAAAAGAGTTTTTGGGGGTCAAGCAATATAGAATAATAAAAAGCACTACAAAGTAAGTAGCAGTAATACTGAACTTTGAAGCAACTAATTTCTTAAAAGCTTCAAAAAGGTTGATTCACCATTTCATGAGTGTCAGTTTTTCCTAAGAAAGGCCTAAGATATCCACTTCATTAAAACTAATTTTAGCATCATCAGCTAAACTTAATAGGTTCCAATAGAAGAAAAACAAAAAGAATAATAATGATAATAAAAATAAAAGCAAACTCAAAATGCTTACATGAAATTTCTTGGTCGGTGATATCTGCCATTTTACATGAATGTGACATAACTTTCAATGTGACTTTATCCATTATGAGCACCTGTGAAAATTAGTTGCTAACGTGGATTACTATCAACCTAAAATTTACTGATAGTTAACTCTAAGAAATAATAAAAAGAAGGCAAGTTAAGATTGACTTATTCATGACAGATGCATGAATAAACTTAAGTAGTTAAATCTGTCTAGAGAAAGATGTATAGGTTACTATCCCAACGTATAAGAATATTAGCTTCATATCCCTAAAAGTTTTAATGCTGAATAGTTTTAAAATCTTATAATGGAGCCAAAAAAATTTAGACATATAGAACATCATCATAAGTTGCATCAAACTATAAAACAACTAAAACTTGTAAAAACATATTTAAGAGAATTTATGAAACTTAAATAATCTCCATTTAACCCTCTATCTCCTTACAAGCCATCTTGATTGAAATTCAAATGTAACTCAGAAACTAAGAACCACGATAAAAAAATCATTCTCTTTTTGATAAAATCTCTAAATTGTGCTTTAGGAAATGACATTGCTTCGAGGCATATATATCAAAGCAAAACAAGATATGTATAAATAGGTAACAACTAGTATAAGAACATTAGTGGTAAAACAAAAGACTTCCTTATAAGGATTGGTATACATTTAGTTCATGTTTAAGCCATTACTTATTTGATATAGTTTTAGATGTTCTAATTAAGAATGTCCTAGAGGATATTACCAAATGCTTTGTTTTTTTTTGGTAAATGATACAGTCATTATTGTGAAGTCAAGAGAGGATAGTAACTTGAGTTATAGCGAAGGACCTTGAAATTAAAGGGTTTTCACCGGAGTAGGAATAAGACAGAATATATACATTACAGGTTCAATAAGAAGCAAATTAGAAATGATTTGGAGACAAAAATGAGGGACCTATCATTTCATAATTGGCAAAGTTCAGTTATCCAAGATTGATTACACAAAAAGATAGTGAAATTGATGGAAAATTGTATGGGTGGAATACAATCTACGTAATTAAGATGAAGAGAGGTATCTAGAGTTATTTTTTATTTAAAAAAAACTAATGGGCTTAAAGGAAGTTTTATCAAATTGTCATAAGATTAGCAAAGAGTGGAACAAGGGAAATGATCGCAATGGTTATTGAAGGCTCTGATGCCATGAAAATTTTCATGACTAAAAGGCTTTGACACCATGAAAATCCAATAATCAAGAAACATGAGTATAGTTTTTTGTTACCGAAAAAAAATACTCCTAATTTTTTGATATTGCCAAATCATATTGGGCCTAATAAGCATTAAATGATTAAACTTAAAAAGAACTTAAGAATAGGTGACGATAACCATGGTTGGAATAACCTAACGCACTTCAACAAATATAAATATGACACCACATTCATTTAAAGTTGTTAATCTTAACCATTAAAATGGGGAAAAAATTAACGAAAAAGGACGAATCAGTGGAAGATGAGTGATGCTTCTAAAACAGTTAACGAAACTAAACATATGAAAAAGAAAAAAGGGTAAACCTTCTACTCATAAAAGCACGCTAATCCTTTCACACAGGCAACAATAACGTCAACAAAAGAGCTACTTAGCAATGGCATCAAAAAGATTAGTAAGGAAGTCTTCATAAACATTTTTGAGTTTGTACAAAATTAGTTTGTGAAGGTAAAGGTCATCAGTTTACTTACTTTTCGTCCTTGTTTTTTAAAGGCAATTTGCCAGCCTTTTCTTAAATCCAAGTTACTTGGGTAATTTAATGTATAACATTGGCAACACACAAAGAATGTAACTGAAACATTCTCACAACCATGGACTACAATGCACAAAATTAGGCTTTTATATAGACTTTATGGCTAGAAAACATGTCTTGCTATTGAATAATTTTATAACTTTCACTTTAGAATAGGACTAAAGAATTAGTTTGCAAGTCAATATACAGAAAATATATGATAAATGAAATTTGATAAATGAATAGAGAGGATTTGGCTCCACCTTTATGATTATCTGTAAAAACCCCTTTCGCCTATGCTCTTTATCATAATATTTAAAACAATCCTAGTAACAGAAGAAACAACAAACTTGCATTATTTAAACTATACGTTTTATGGGTAAAACTAAGGGTCCTCATTCCATACTCATCATTATAATAAATTTATTTTTTTAAGATGTGTTAGCTATAAGATTATTTTTATTTTCAATTCTGAATCTATTAACATGAAAAAATTATATAAAAATATAAAAAAATTAAATTGAACCTAGAAGATCAAAAATCAATTTTGAATAGATCAAGATTAAGATCAGTATTCCATGCTTATCTTTGTGATTAGAATGTGCTCCCAAAAGTAAAGCAAATATAATTGGCTAAATAGGTAACAATGCTCTAGAAGTTCGTCAATCATCACTAGAAATGGTGAATTAAAACAAACAATATATGAAATTAACTAAAGCAACGTTCTTTAGAAAGAAATTATCGTAGTTAAGTAAGGAAAAATTAACAAGCTCCAGAACAACATCGTAAACTGTGACCGCTTCAATCACTCACCTTCCATGATTTAGAATCCCCTGACTTTGCTGCTCCAAGCATTTCAAACAATAACCCTACATGCAGCCAAACATGAAAAATATTACAAAATATATTTAAGAAGAAAGTAACTAATGTTATGTCTCCCGCATTGAGTCGTAGAAGTCAAATACTTATCCATAATAAAGGGTGAGAAAATGATGGAAGCCAAAAAAAATTAAAAAGATTCAAATAGTCGAATCTTTCAAATATATTTAGTGTTATTACATTTTCTGAAAACTAAGTGTCTCCTAAAGCCAACACTATCAATTCGCCATAGCAGTTTGTATTCCAAAATCCAAAAGATTCTATATATATATATATATATATATATATATCCCAGGTTAAAGGAATATAGGAAAAACTTAAAAAAATACAACCGTTTTCTAAAATAAAGACTTGGCAACCTCAAAATTGAAAGGAATACATCCACACCAAGCTCAGCTTCGTAGCTCAATTATGTAAAAACAAATTAAATTCAATCAAGCCCCCAGAAAAACTGCTCTGTGTCAAGATTTTCCTTATTGAAATTCTTCTCAACCTATTTGTTCGGAGAAACAAATGGATAAATAACAGAAAACAAGATCCTCCTCAAAACGAAAGACAATAGTGCTTACTGTCACGGCTAATTTGGCGAAAAGGTCTATATTCGGATGATCCACCTTGAGTTGTCTCGGAATCCGACAACGACATTTGCAGAAGCTGATCGTGAAGATGGAGGGGCCGAGAAAGGGAAGAATCCGTTGGAATTGCTGAGGAAATGAGGATAATCAAAAGAGTCGTCCGAGAAAAGTCGTTATTGAGTGTGGGGACGTGAAATTTGGGACCGAAGTTTCGGTTACGTTTTGCGCTCATGAATGAATGGTTTCTACGTTGTCGTTTTGTCTCTCTTTCCTAGCGACAGGGAAATCGAACACCCAACGTAACGACGCTCTCGCCGAGTTATTTGCATAGATGACAAATAGATATAATAATATAATATTCACAATATTACTCCTATAATTTAAATAGAAAGCAAGTATAATTCAATCGTTTTGAATCAATGCTGGCTTTAAATACCAATGACAAAATTGCTGTTGAAAATCGATTAATTAAGAAGATTTATAATTAAAATTTTTTATAATAAATATTAGGATTTTGTTGGAAATAGGGGATTATTATTTTGTTGTGATATTAAACGTTTATCTGTACAGTTGTTAGTGGGTGATGTCATATTGCCCAGTACGGCTTTAGGTTCTTTTTTTTTTGTTGCATTTTTTGTTTTACTCTATAAACCTTAGGCCTTTGGTTGTAATTGAGGTCCATAGAGTTGTATTGTTTTTGTTTCAGTAATGAGAAGATCCCCATTATTCCATCATAGAGTGTATAGGAATAGGTTTAGCGCTTGGTATTTTTCATGGTACCAAAACTAAGGGTTTTCCCTCAATTTTGATCAGAATCCCATAGTCCATTCATTTTCTACGTTTAGCCAGCAAACCGTAATAGGAGAAGAAAATTTTGCCGCAGAGAGCTTGTCTTCCTCTTGCCCATTGTAGATCCATCCATCGGACACCCAAGGTGCTTCAATCATCCATCACATTCTTCTCAATGGCACCAAAAATTACACAATATGGAGTAGGGTGATGAAAATCACACTGATGGGGAAGAACAAACTCGGATTCATTACTAGAACTTGCAAGAAAGAGGCACAAGATAAGGTATTGCATGATCAATGGGAATGATATAACACGGTTGCGCTCTCTTGGATTTTGAACTCCATTTCGAAAAAAAAACTCGCAAATAGAGTCATATTCTTTCAGAATGCGTATCACATGTGGATGGACCTCAAAGAAAGATTCAATAAGAAGAATAGAGCTCAGATATTTGCTCTCCACCATGAAGTTACTTTCCTTAGACATGGATCTCTTTCAGTTTCTGCCTATTTCTCAAAATTGAAGGAACTTTCAAAAAAAAATAATTGGCATTAGTCACTCTTTCCTCCTGTACATGTGAAATGTCTAGAACCTATGCCAAGGTCATTCAGGAACAAAAACTTCTATAGTTCTTGATGGGATTTAATGAATCCTATCATCAAGCTAAGAGCTAGATCATTCTAATGAATCTACTCCCTAGAGTTAATGAAGCATACGCGCTATGATCATTTAGGACGAGACCCAAAGATCAATTGCCAGCAGCGACAAGCCTCCACCAGGAGAAGAAATTATGATGGTTGCCAGAGGACGTGGCGGCGGCAAAGGTAAAAGACATAGGGAAAGCACGCTTGAATGCAATTATCGTGGCAAAAAGGGGTATCTCAAAGAGAATTGTTAACAAATAATTGGTTACCCTTTAAATTTTAGAGGAAACAAAGGTAAGCAAGGTAAGGAGTTGAATCAATCTAGTACTAACTTATCTCATGTCCACATGCCAACAAAGCAACGTATGTCGACCAACCTCCACAAATGAATAGTACCCAAAAATCTTAGAATTACTTCTAAAGGAGTCAGAGACCACTGTTAATGCCCTAACTGGTATAGGTTTGGCTATTTCTAACCCTCATAATGTATCTTATGCTAGTTGGATTTTAGATTTTGCGGTCACTATATGTCACATCTTGAAATTTTTATTTAAATATAGGAAGTTAAAAATTTGAATGAGGGCCAATATAGAAAGCAAACAAAGGGATAAAACAACTTTTGATGTGAAACCTTGATAGGAAGAGCAAAATAGGAAGGGTAAAATGGGAAAAATTCTAGAAAAATTCCAAAAAATGGTAAGAAGGTAAATTAGAAATTTTGTAACCTCAAAATCAATGTAAAAATAAACTATTACCGAATTTCCTGAAAACGGAGGTTTTTCATGAAAATAGTTGAAAATTAGAGAAAAATAATTATTTTAAATATTTAGAGGCCTCAATAATTCTGATAAAAATATTAAATAATTATCTAATTATTTATGGAAATTTATAAAATTGATTTTGGACCTTGGAAGTATAGGAAATTATTTCTGGGAATTTATTTCTCACAGTCTTACTAATAAAGGCCTATCCAGGAAGAATTCAAAATAAATAGTTAGAGATGGAGAAAAATTCTGAAAATTTTCAGGTCATATCCTTATATTATAAGAGGATTTTTTATGGAGAAAAATGTGATTTTGGAGGTCTAGAAAAATTATGAAAAGTTACAAGCAAATAGTAACCAATAAAACTTCAAGGTGGTTTGGGATGGTGATCTAATTTGTAAGCCATCTTTTTTGGTCATCTTAGACCATGAGTGGACCCCAAATTGGGCTAGAAAAAGGCCCAAAATTCACGTAAAATTCTATGCCCAATATTAAAGCCCAATTAAACATAAATATCTTGGATTATTTTAGGCAAAACACACTTGGCATGATTTGAAAATTGCAGCTTGTGATGGCAACAATGTGTCCCTCTTATGTGGCACTCCAACATGCCAAGATGAGGGGGACAGAAACTTTGCCTTTAAATACCCTCCTAAAATACATAAAAATAGGTGAAAAATTGACAAAAGAGAGGAGGTTCTGTCAAGTTGTTTTCTTGAGCTTCAAAACTAAACTTAGTGAGTGCATTTGGATAAGGAATCATCAAGTTTTAGTTTTCATCAAGGTATGTTTGAGCTTTGGTTTAGTTAAGATTAAAGCTTGTTTTGGTTGAATATTTGAATTAAAATTCAAGGGGAAAATGCTGCCATTATTTGGGTAAAATGTCTATGCTTTAGGGAAGAATAGAAACCTTAAAAATGAGTTGGAATTATTATGTTTAAGTGGTGTTTGGATTGATTTTTAGAAGCAAACTAAGTTAGGGTTTAATATGTTTCAATTCAGTCAAGAAGAGATCTTGATGTAGGAGTTTGTTTTGATGTGTTTTGATAATTCCAATGGGTTTAAAAGGTGTTTTTGTGTAGAAAAACACCAAGAAAAAGTGTTTAAAATCATTGGAATCAAAAATAGAAATTTTGTGCAAATATATATCCCTATTCAACCAAGACTGATTGAGAGGGAAAAAGTTTGATTTTCATAAATCTGAATTGATATTTGAATTCTGCATGAAAAATTGTATAGGAATGGGTCAAGAGATTATTGGAATCAAAGGAGAAATAATTATGTTAAAAATCAAGAAAAACGGAGATTTAATTAGGTTTAGGGTTAAATATTGGGAAAATTACTGTAGAGTCCCACAGAAGACAATTTACTACCAGAAGGTCCCATGAAATCCCCAAATTCCTCATAAGTCCCCAGGGACCTCTGGGTAAATAATTTGAGTTGTGATATTACGTACTTGCCCTCGGTCATTGATAAAGGAAAGAAAAGAGGGAGAGACGCTGATTGGCTTCATTTAGTACGGTTGTTTGTTATACATGCACAAGGAAGAGAAGCTTCTGAAAGAAAGAAGGGAGTTATGCGCTGGTACTCCATCGCAGGCAAGCGACATTATTTCTTCATCTTCTTGGTACGTCTCATCATTAACAACATTTCTCTTCTTCTATACACAACCAGTGTCAAGTTTAATGTTGGTCTGAAAAGTTGATTGTGTGTTGATATATGGGTATTAAAGATGTGATTCAACTCACTAGAAATATTAAGGGAGGCTCATTTTAGTCATATGTGGTTTTAATCATGTTAGGTGTGGTTTTACTATGTGTGGCTAGGGTTAGAAAGCAATGCTCTGTTTTTCGGTGAATGAGGCTCTGTTTTTCGGTCACTGATGCTGTGTTGCTGATGAAGATGAGTGGAAAATAACAGATATTTATTATTGTAACCCCTCAAATGCGATGGTTAAATGTGTTGTTAATGGGTACATCGAAGGTTGTTAACATAACTGTATGACTTGTTATTAACAACCAGTCGCAGCTTTAATGCTGGTCTGAAAAGTTGATTGGGTGTTTATACGTTGGTATTAAGCATGTGATTCAGCTCTCTAGAAATATCAAGGGAGGCTCATTTTAGTCATATGTGGTTTTAATCATGTTAGGTGTGGTTTTACTATGTGTGGCTAGGGTTAGAAAGCAATGCTCTGTTTTTCGGTGAATGAGGCTCTGTTTTCGGTCACTGATGCTGTGTTGCTGATGAAGATGAGTGGAAAATAACAGATATTTATTATTGTAACCCCTCAAATGCGATGGTTAAATGTGTTGTTAATGGGTACATCGAAGGTTGTTAACATAACTGTATGACTTGTTATTAACAACCAGTCGCAGCTTTAATGCTGGTCTGAAAAGTTGATTGGGTGTTTTATACGTTGGATTAAGCATGTGATTCAGCCTCTAGAAATATCAAGGGAGGCTCATTTTAGTCATATGTGGTTTTAATCATGTTAGGTGTGGTTTTACTATGTGTGGCTATGGTTGAAAGAAAGCAATGCTCTGTTTTTCGGTGAATGATGCTCTGTTTTCGGTCACTGATGCTGTGTTGCTGATGAAGATGAGTGGAAAAAAAGATATTTATTATTGGTAACCCTCAATGCGATGGTTAAATTCTTATGGGTACTCGAAGGTTGTTAACATAACTGTCTCTTCTTATTAACAACCAGTGCAGTTTAATGTTGGTCTGAAAAGTTGATTGTGTGTTGATATGTGGGTATTAAGATGTGATTCAACTCACTAGAAATATCAAGGGAGGCTCATTTTAGTCATATGTGGTTTTAATCATGTTAGGTGTGGTTTTACTATGTGTGGCTAGGGTTAGAAAGCAATGCTCTGTTTTTCGGTGAATGAGGCTCTGTTTTTCGGTCACTGATGCTGTGTTGCTGATGAAGATGAGTGGAAAATAACAGATATTTATTATTGTAACCCCTCAAATGCGATGGTTAAATGTGTTGTTAATGGGTACATCGAAGGTTGTTAACATAACTGTATGACTTGTTATTAACAACCAGTCGCAGCTTTAATGCTGGTCTGAAAAGTTGATTGGGTGTTTATACGTTGGTATTAAGCATGTGATTCAACTCTCTAGAAATATCAAGGGAGGCTCATTTTAGTCATATGTGGTTTTAATCATGTTAGGTGTGGTTTTACTATGTGTGGCTATGGTTAGAAAGCAATGCTCTGTTTTTCGGTGAATGATGCTCTGTTTTTCGGGCAATGATGCTGTGTTGCTGATGGAAATGAGTGGAAAATGACAGATATTTATTATTGTAACCCCTCAAATGCGATGGTTAAATGTGTTGTTAATGGGTACATCGAAGGTTGTTAACATAACTGTATGACTTGTTATTAACAAGTGATTGTGGCAGGTTGATATCCAGGATGGCAACTTCCAGTGCAAAGCAATTGTTTTGCTACCTCCATATAGGAGGACAATTTATTAATGGTGTAGAAGGTGAAACGCAGTATGTTGGAGGTGGTGTGAGAACAAGAATGATAAAGGAAGGGACATCATATGGAGAATTTAGAACAATGGTGGCATCAATTGTGGGAAAAGAAAGTAATGGAATGGTTATGAAATTCACAGTAACCTTTGATGAGTGTACATTTGTGGACCTTGTAGATGATGAAGGAGTAGAACATTTGATTAACTTCAATGGCGACAGTGGTCATGTATATATAGGAGAAAATGGAGATCAAAATTCACAACTAACAAGGGATGTTGTAATAGAAGAGCAACATGTGTAAGTTGTGTTATTTAAATTTCGAAGTAATATTAGCTATTGTCAACTGTTGTGCATAAGTTGTTATTATAGTGATCGAAGGTTGTCATTAACGACCCCTTGACCTGTTCTGTTATGTAGGATGGAAGACTTGTTCGGAGGTTCAGATACATTGTCCATGTCTCCACCTAATGTGGTTAGTGAAGACCCACTATTGTTGCCATGTGGTTCAGAAATGATGCCAACCCCAATTCCGGAAATGAATTCAACAAAGTGGAAGGGTTTGGTTATCGGAGAAGGACAGATTTTTCCTAATGCAGTGGCTCTTAGGCAAGCACTGTATAGGTACAGTATTGCTGTGAAGTTTTCATACAAGTTTGTGAAGAACAATCAACAAAAGATCATTGTGAAGTGTATGGCGGAGGGATGCCCGTGGTATATGGGTGCATACTCAATGGGACAAAGACAAGATTCTGAGTTGTTAATAATTAGAACCTTAAGAAGTGAGCATGTGCATTATGCACAGGACAGCTTGGTTGTATCTCACTCTAGAGGGTCAAACTTAACATCATCAATCATGATAGATTCTTTGAGGTGTAATATAGACAAGAATGCTAATGAACTTAGAAGAGATCTGTATAGAGAATATGGGGTGCGACTGAATTATAGTCAAGCATACAGGGGTAGAGAAAGAGCATTGAGGGAAATACATGGTCGTGCACAGGATTCATACATGGTGATTCCCTGGATTTGTGAAAGGCTCATTGAAACTGATCCAAACACAAGTGCTCGATAGGAAGGGTTGGATAGTAACAGATTTCAGAGGGTGTTCATTGCTTATGGATGCTCAATTAATGGATTTTTAGAAGGGTGTCGACATATACTTTATATAGACGGCTGTCATCTAAGTGGTCCTTACAGGGGGACATTGATTTCAGCTAATGCATATGATGCAGACAATGAACTATTTCCATTAGCATATGCTATAGTTAGTGGGGAGACATATGATGATTGGGCTTGGTTTCTCCAGAACATCAAAGACATCACAAGATCAGTGGAGACAACGATAGTTTCAGATCGGAATAATGCCATTATAGGTGCTGTGCGAACAATATTTGGTGGCGAGAGACATGCTTTTTGTTATAGGCATGTGAAAGAAAATTTTAGTGCACATTATTTAAAAATTAACCGAGGCAGGGGACGAGTTTCAGGTACTTCAAAGGACGTTGCATTGAAAATGCTGGATGGAATCGCCTATGCAAGGATTGAGGATGAATATGTTGCTGCAATGGGGAAACTTAGATCATTCTGTCCACAATTGGCTGATTGGGTTGACACTCAAGGAGATGTAGATCGGTGGGCTTTAAGCAAATTCCCGTTTAAACGATAGGATAACATCACCACTAATGTTGCGGAGTCGTTTAATGCCTGGATTTTGAAGGAGAGGAAGCACAATGTGTCAGTTCTCATACATGAGCATATGGAGAAATTAGCCAAGAAGATGGTTGCAAGCAAAATGGCAATGGAAAATTGGACAAATGGCGTTGGGCCAAATATTGAGTCCAAGTTGCAAGAAAAAGTAGCAAGAGCGGAGAATATGCATACTGTATATTATGGAGATAACCGAGTTCAAGTTGATACTACATCTCCTACTGGAATAATTTGTGTCACTGTTGATCTCACAGCTCAGAAATGCACTTGTTTAGCATGGCAAATGAGCGGAGTACCTTGTGCTCATGCCTGTGCAGCGATAAAGCTACTTCATGGTAGTGTTTATGAATTTGTAGATGATTGCTATAAGCTGTCAGCCCAAGAGAAGATATATGCAAGTAGTATGAGGCCAATTGCGACACATGATTGTCCTCGTCCCGAAGCTCTCACCGTTACGCAGATGATGACGGGAACATTTTTACAGCCACCAATCACTAAAAGACCCTCAGGGAGGCCAAAGAAAAGAAGGATTGAATCTCAATTTCAAAGTAAAAAACTTTACCACTGTGGAAGATGCCATGAGCCAGGCCACACTGTGAAGACTTGCCAGAACCCCAATCCAAGTTGAGCTTTGCTGGTGGCTTGTTGATATTTCGTTTTGTGAATGCTTGTGACAGCATTTTTTTGTAAATGTCATAACCTACACCTCAAGTTGTCCGTCATTATCCACACATGCAACACGTATGCTTTTTTGAATAGGTTGTAAATTTGGTGTAGTTATGTTGTACATATATATATCAAGTGGTAAATGACACCTGGTTGTAATCTGATATAACATCATTTCTGTATTTTTGATGTACTGGTGAATAGGTTGTAATGGACTTGTTATCAGACGCCATGCAGGTTGTCATTAGCAGTCTCAATTATGTTACTGATATAAAGTGACAATTTCTCCTACTTCCAGTGTTCAGTGATTTCTTAAGACATTCGAGCTGTGTTAAAGTCATAATATGATATGATTTGGTTAGAATTAGATCTCATGTGGAGGTTGTGGTATCCCCAGCGTCAGTTGTCAGGGGCAATGCGAAGGTTGTTAACCAATTCTGTTCGGGTTGTCAACAATCCCTGTTGAGGTTGTAAATGAATTGCTGGAATAAAAATCTGCTGTAATATGATTTTTCTTTTAAAGCTGTTAATGACTTTAAAATGCTCCCAATTTTTGCTATTAAGGTCGTTATATGTGCTCATAATATAATTAAGTTAACAGCTGTGTTATACCCCGAGTGAGTTGTTAACCAATTCTGTTCGGGTTGTCAACAATCCCTTTTGAGGTTGTGAACAACCCCTGTTGAGGTTGTAAACAGATGTGGCAGAGAGGACTCTGATATATGCCTATCATGTCACCGTGGTTACCATTTGTTTATCCAGTCTTATTCAGTCTGCATTTGTGGCCATGATGAAAAACACATGAATGCCTTTACAAAAACTTGATAACCAGTAAAGGATATCAAAACACATTAACATATCTTAACATCCAGGATTCATACATGCTCAAAGAAAAGAATAAAATGTGAACTTGACGTTCAGATGTCACTATGCTGTCAAATAAATAAATGTAAATACAATATATGCTTGTCATTTATTTCTTCCTCTTGCTTTGGGGGTTTCCTCGCAGCAAAGACAGCACTTCATCGCCATGCAGGTTGTTCCGATGAGTCACGAGCCACCACAAGCATCCAACCTTCAAGTCATGGATTTCTTCAGGGGAGTACTTAGGCATTGTGTAGCCGTCATCACCATACTCAGTGCCGTCCCATGTTTGTAACCAGCTCAACACATGCACCCCACAAGAGTCCCTACAAAGGAAAAAAAAGTACTTTAGTGAATGAACATTAGCTCCCAAAAGTTGAGACACAAGTACTTGTGTGTGAAAAATAACTCACGTGTCAGATTGCACATGAACTTTTGCCCATGTGACTTCCTCGTCAATCTTGTCCTCCTCCGCAAACAGTGATGGCTTCAGCACACGAAGCACTTGGCAGAAACAATCTCTCTGCAAAAAGGGACAAACAGAAGAAACAAGTTTGACAGTTGTGAATGACAAGTTATCAGGAAGCATTAACAACCTTCGCTGTAGCCAATGACAAGTAATCAGCAGGCATTAACAACCAGGACAGTTAAGCAGACAAGCAACCATAACGCATTAACAAGTTATAGAATGAATGTAAAGTTGTGCATACAATCCCTCTCGCCATGAATTGCTTAGGATCTATCTGTCCTCTCTTCTTCCCTTGCTTCCTTTGTGGTTTCTTCCTGTTTTCATTGCTTCTTCTTCCTCTCTTTGTAATCTCAACATCGTCAAATTGTCCACCAACGAGTCAAGGGCATAGAAACGCATGGTTCTTACATCCATCACGTAACAGAACCAATGGTAATTGAAAAGGGTGGGGCCAAATATGAAGTCACAGTCTCCAATGTTATATCCTATGTGCTCCGGTAAGATTTCATGTTCATGTTTTTCCAGGCTCTACCTAAGAGGATTAGCGGCCATTGTTTGCATTAACTCGGGTGAAAAAATGTGCCTACTGACACGACGTGGTTCTCTTTTTCATCTCCCACCAAGGTTCTCGCCACCATAGACATGAACTATATCACACATACAAACAGTTAGTCATGATCATAATGACATTCGCAGTTCTCTATCTATATAAACAACTGTCTTACCCTGTCGTTCATCCATTTCCTGTCTTGTAGGCAGCAAAGCTCAGCACGTGTCAAGAAGTACCCATACATCTCTACAATGTACCTGCAGCAAAAGGAACAATGAGCACAAGGGTTGTATGTGTAAAATTGTTGTCAATCAGTTGTCCCAATTACAATCAGTCCCAACACTTACTTGGCACCTTCATCTTGATCACATCTTCTCGTGCACATCTGGAATAATTCCTCTTTCTCGTCAGCTTTTCTCTTGCCACGGCCTTTTTTCACCTCCTCTAACCAGGGAGATTTGATTGCACGGCTTCTCACCCGTGTTGATCTTCTTACATCCATTTGCCCTTGTGCTTGCTGGTCCATTTCATCCTTTTCCTCCATTTCATCGCCTACACCCTTATCCTCTTTGCTGCTGCATCACTAGACTTGTCTTGTGTTTTTTCTTCTCCATCATCCTCTGATCCAGAGTGACTCCCTTCTCCTTTCTCCTCAGGTTGAGATTGACTCTCTTCTTCACGCGAAGCACTTTTGCCCTCTTCTTTATCATCTCCTTCTGGTTCACTCTGTTGTTCCTCTTGTGACAGAATTGAATCTTTTGGGCTTCCTTTACCTTCTTCACCGGTTTCTTCATCTTCAGTTGCCTTCTCTTTGTCATCTTCGCTACTTACTGCTTCCACCACATCTTCCTTGTCAATCTCATCCGTCAACCTCAACTGCAGGGAAACCAACTCTTCTCCAATTGTCGACACCAACCCTTCAACCATGGTCATCAACCTTTCATACGTTCTCTTGATTTCCTGCAAAACAACAGTAATGAAAGTTATCATTACTCCAAATTCTACACAGCACCAAAATAAGCTTCACATGATTTACTTACAGGGTGGGTTAGCTTTATTCCTGTGTTGGATGCACTTGTTGAAGCCCCACCGACACTCGGAACGCCATGCAGTATGCCTCTGTCGCTATTCTTTTCTGATTTCACTCTTGCCTTCACTTTTTCCTCATCCCAATAAGTAATGGCATTTTCATTTTTTGCCGCCTTTTCTTTTCCGAGAGGAAAGTGTTGTAGGCAATAAATCTGCATGTGAAGTTAATGATAACTTAGATATACAACAACATCATCCAAACAGGCCACTGACAACATAAACAGCGGAAAATCACAACCTACACACTGCCCAATAACAACATACACAGTGACCAATCACACCTACACACTGCCCAATAACAACATACACAGTGACCAATCACAACCTACACATAAGCCTGTCACAACATACATTTGCGCCATTCACAACATGTACAGCATCCAGTGACAACCCATACTCAACAGAATGACAACACGAACAGACTGCAATTACAACCTATACATAACCAGGTGACAAACCAACACATCCTAATGACAACCTGAACACAGGACATAACAACCTCCACACCAGCCAGTCACAACATATCCATAACCAGTTCACAGCGTACATTTCTCCAACTGACGACATAGAGTAGTAAATAACAACATACACAGTGACCAATCACAACCTACACATAACCCTGTCACAACATACATTTGCGCCATTCACAACATGTACAGCATCCAGTGACAACCCATACTCAACAGAATGACAACACGAACAGACTGCAATTACAACCTATACATAACCAGGTGACAAACCAACACATCCCAATGACAACCTGAACACAGGACAATAACAACCTCCACACCATCCAGTCACAACATATACATAACCAGTTCACAGCGTACATTTCCCAACTGACGACATAGAGTAGTAAATAACAACATACACTGTCCAATCACAACCTACACATAACCCTGTCACAACATACATTTGCGCCATTCACAACATGTACAGCATCCAGTGACAACCCATACTCAACAGAATGACAACACGAACAGACTGCAATTACAACCTATACATAACCAGGTGACAAACAACACATCCTAATGACAACCTGAACACAGGAAATAACAACCTCACACCAGCCAGTCACAACATATCCATAACCAGTTCACAGCGTACATTTCTCCAACTGACGACATAGAGTAGTAAATAACAACATACACAGTGACCAATCACAACCTACACATAACCCTGTCACAACATACATTTGCGCCATTCACAACATGTACAGCATCCAGTGACAACCCATACTCAACAGAATGACAACACGAACAGACTGCAATTACAACCTATACATAACCAGGTGACAAACCAACACATCCTAATGACAACCTGCACACAGGTCAATAACAACCTCCACACCAGCCAGTCACAACATATACATAACCAGTTCACAGCGTACATTTCTCCAACTGACGACATAGAGTAGTAAAAACAACATACACAGTGACCAATCACAACCTACACATAAGCCTGTCACAAACATACATTGCGCCATTCACAACATGTACAGCATCCAGTGACAACCCATACTCAACAGAATGACAACACGAACAGACTGCAATTACAACCTATACATAACAGGTGACAAACCAACACATCCTAATGACAACCTGAACACAGGAAAATAACAACCTCACACCAGCCAGTCACAACATATCCATAACCAGTTCACAGCGTACATTTCTCCAACTGACGACATAGAGTAGTAAATAACAACATACACAGTGACCAATCACAACCTACACATAACCTGTCACAACATACATTTGCGCCATTCACAACATGTACAGCATCCAGTGACAACCCATACTCAACAGAATGACAACACGAACAGACTGCAATTACAACCTATACATAACCAGGTGACAAACCAACACAGCCCTAATGACAACCTGAACACAGGACAATAACAACCTCCACACCATCCAGTCACAACATATCCATAACCAGTTCACAGCGTACATTTCCCCAACTGACGACATAGAGTAGTAAATAACAACATACACACGTCCAATCACAACCTACACATAACCCTGTCACAACATACATTTGCGCCATTCACAACATGTACAGCATCCAGTGACAACCCATACTCAACAGA